CTCATTCCCTCCCAGTTCCTCCTTTTGCACCTCCACCGGCTCCTTTCTGACACTCCAGGCGCCCGGAGCAGAGACTGGGACCCTTGGCCATCTACTTTCAAGTGACCGTCGGGTTTTCTTACTGATTGCCCATTCATCCCCAAATGGAGAAACAGTCACAGCCCTACCCCCGGGCAGGGTGGGGCGGGAATTGGGGGTGGGGGAGGCCTGAGCCTGAACTCACTCCCCTCCCCCACCCGGCCAGGGCGCCCCTAGGGGTCCGGAGCCCACGGCGGGATCACCTGGCTGGGCGGCATCCGCCAGGTGAGCTGGGGCGTATGTGTGCTTAGCGTTGCAGGTTCCTGCATAAATGTGCCTATAAACACTCTACACCTACAGGGTTTTGTACATTTTCCAACCGAAACCCACAACACGAGGGGTGGCGAGCTGGCCAGAGCGGGAATAAAAGTCCAATAAAACTGACGTTCGCTAAAGGTTATCACCGATCTACAAAGGGTAGGAATTTTTTTTCCCCTCGAGGGGTGAAAAAGGAATAAGGAAGAGCCAACATTTTTTTCTCCCTCCAGTGACCAGTCTTAACTTCAAAGCCGGAGCACAAAAGCTTGGGTTTTTTTTTTTCTCTAAACCTAAATCGACAGTCAAAGAAAATGCACAGGTTTGCCCAGAAGGCAACGTGCCTTTTCCCGCGTGCGAGGGGGAGTGCTTTTTAACAAGCAAAATTAAGGTTTTAACACATGGTCGGAATGGCGACCAAAAGGGAAAACTCAGTTTCCAGTCCAAGCCTCCGGGAGCCATTCCTGCCAACCTCCGCACCCTCGCACGCCCCACCCCGAGCGCTGGAGCCTGAACCACTCGGGGATGGATTCGCTGCGAAGTTGCTGTTCGGCAACAGTCCATAATCGGAAGGGGAAGTGAATGGGGAACTTAAAGGGGTGAGCCTGCCACGCGGGGAGTGCCCACACGCTCAGGTCCTGGTGGACGGAGGTGCTGTCGGGGAGAAGGTCATCCCCTCGCGCCCCTCCCCTTCGCAGCCACCTCTCCCCCACCCCCCGCCCCCCGCCGGAATTTCTCTGTAAAGCCAGACTGGGTTGGGGTAGAGGGAGGCAGGGGGCCCGCTCGCTCCCGAGACTTGAGGCCTCGCCACCCAGGCTTTCTCCCCAGGGTGGACAAGGCACCGAGGACGACCACCCGCCTCTTCCCCGCCCCCGTTGCCCCTCTTCGAGGGACCCAACACTCGGGATGCTTTCCCTGCAAGGAGGTGGAGAGAAAAGCGCTGCTCGGTTAGTTATCCAGGGATGTGAAGAGGCTGGGAGCCCAGGCAGGCTTCTGTCCTTGCCTGTTGGGGTAGATTTATACTTTAAAAATACCTCTCTCTCCCCCTGCACCCACCCCTGCACCCCCATCCCAGCAGCTTTCTTTGATCCGCTCAAAGGTGGCTGGGGTGAAGTTTGACTAATTCCTTTATGGGGTCTTAACATGTAAGTGAATGTATTTATCCGGAGTGATTCAAGGCCTGAGTCGGGAAGTCCACGCTGACTGAAATCAATAGGTGATTGTTACGGACCCGCTCTATTCCGAGGAACACGGTACTCGGCCCGAGTGTCATGCGCCGCACCGGGCTGTTTCATTTTGAGTTTGCAACTTGGGTTTTTCAGGGAGCTTTTTTCTCTCCCGAAAGCTAATGGCTTCCACAGCAATTAGACATTCTCCTCGCCCGCCCCTTCCCTCCCCTTTCTTTACATACAGTAGATTGGATACTAATTCCCGCGGCTATTGATAAGGTCGGAGGCGCCCCGGCCCTCGCCCGCCCCAGTCCCCGCTCTCCCTCCGCCCTCCCCTTCTTGGCTTCCTTTTGATGTAGCGGGGAACGCGTCCTACTAAAAAAAAAAAGTAATCTGCCCGGTAACAATCAGCGCGCAGTAGCAGGAGACCCAGAGCTATTGGCTATGCAAATAGAGGGAGGGGAGACGGCGCCCCAAAGTCTTAACTCACTCTTTTAAAGCGATATCCCCCTTCCACCCACCCACCTCTTCCGCCCCACCCTCGTGGAAAGGGGCTGGCCCCGGGGCCCGAGTTAATCGCTTGCACCTCTGGTTTATGCACTCCCCGCCCTCTGTATTCCACCTCCCCCTCCTTTCAGGGAACCAAGCGCTCTGCTCACCCAGCCCACCCCCTCCCCCGCTCGCCCTCCGCGCCCCGGTTCGGGCCTCCCTTCCCAGCGAAAGAGGTCCTGGGTCTGCCTCGGTGTGTCCCAAGAGCCCCGACCCACGCCGTGCTCGCCGCACGTGCCAGCTCGGCCAGCAAGCTGGGGGCTCGGCTCGCTTCCCTTCCTCCCAAAGTGAAATAGCACTGACGGGCGGGGTGGGGGGTGGCGGGAGGAAGGAGGTGAGGAAACGCCGCCAGATCCCCTCTAAAAGCGGCTTTGACCCGAGGATGCATTTGAGCACGTGTCAGCGCCGACCGCGCTGGCCGCGTCTCTACCGCAGTCCCGCTCGCGGGGAGAAAGCCCTGACTGCTAGCGAGGCGTGAAGCCGGAGGGTCGGCGAGGAGGCAGGCGAGGTACCTAGAGTGGAAGTCTTGGGCCTCGGAGAAAAGGAAGAGGTGGTGTCGTTTGCGCTGGGGGAAAGAGGGGGAGCCAAACCTTCCCCTCTTTTGCCCCCCTCCCCTCCCCCTCCCGGGCTATTTCCTAGAAAGCTGTATCAGTGTGGCCACGCTCGGCGCAGACACCTCGGGCGGCTTGTCAGCAGATGCAGGGCGAGGAAGCGGGTTTTTCCAGCGTGGCCGCTGGCCGCGGCGGCACC